GGGTCGCTTTCCAGGCAAGGGGCTGCGGCTCACTGGCAGTGGCCCGGGCACCGGAGGAGATGGAGGCGGATCGGCTTCGGATATACCTTCGAACCGGGCGGAACCAAATTGTAAAGCCGGCTTTTGCCGGCACAGAAGAACTCCAATCGCTTGGTTTGCCGATTTGAAGGGAGTTTTGTTTCGAACTGCGCCAAACCTTGGAACCTGATCGTTCCTTCAAAGATCGGGTCCCAACACCCGCTCTCATGTGCACTTCAGATTCAGCCTCCCATCGCTTCTAATTGGTGGGTCGGATTCGTGAGCAACTATGTTTCCGTTGGACCTGCAAAAGATTGGATCTATTGCGACTTGTGGAAATGAAACTTCCACTCGTACTTGGGTTGGACAAGTGTGTACAACCGACGCGGGCACCCGGTGTCAATTGAGCACAGGCGCGAAGGTCCTTTGCAAGCACATGTGGTTGTTTCGGTAGTGGGACATAATCTTGGTGGCTCCCAGCAATCCCCTTAGGCTTTTAGCTTTGTAGGCTTTGTAGTGTTTAGTGGCACTAAAGGTTAAACTTTTAGCGGGGGATCTGAGGGCAGCCCGGTAACGCTGGTAGTTTGTGCGAATGTGCTATCTTCAAACTATGTGGTCGCTGACGAGCAAAGGTGGAGGGTCATCCACGATATGCCAATATGAACAGCGCAAAACATTCGGTGTCCAGTAAAGGGCTATAAAGGGCTCATGACCTTGACCCGCAGGACCGTCACTGGGTGCCCCAAACAGGTCTTCCTTGTGGGTTATCGCCTTATCGCAGTGAAAGGGTATAGAAAGGGAGACTCGGCTCTTTTGGGGCCCCTCATGTGCATCGTTTGGGGTCCCGCGCGCGTCCGTCAGGTTTTGGACCCCATCATCAAAGGCTGGGAGGAGTGGAAGCAGGATCGCTGGCAGGCGGCCAGCGGCCAAGCCGGCATTTCCCATCTGGATCTCAAGGAGGGTGAGCTGCTGAAGTTCGGCCCCTTGCTTTGAGTCCCAATCCAGCCCAATGTTTGGAGTCTGAACCTCCAGTAGGATTAGTGAATCGTTGGAGTAGATTGCTCAGTTGCTCTGGGTAAATGCAGAGTCGACCTTGGGTGACTGCTTCAAGGAGAAGCAACCCAAGTGCTGACAGAGCACTTCCCTTTTCCTGCCCCAAAGCAGTGCTGTTCTTTCGGTGTCAACTTGCGGACCGCCCAGCAGTCTTTTTTTTGAATATTGACATGATTGAGGCCAAATGGGTTTAATTTGGCAGTGGTCAATAAATGATTTTGGTCGATAGCAAGTGTCTACTTGGGAGCACGTAGCCAAGTGGGAAGGAGCAGTCCTGACAAGCAATGCTGAGAAATGAAACCGTAATCGCCATTGTTGTGTTCTTCTTCAGGGGCGCTTGGCACTGTTTGTGATTCGGGCGCAAGAATGCGCCATGCTGAATTCTGACTGTTAAAAAGAAAGAAGCCGCTTAGGAACGTACATGACTTGAAATTATGCAATATTTTTACTATTGGAGCGAGTCGCAGCAAATGGGTCAACTGGTTTACAGACAACCACGGCATTGGCAAATTTCCTTATGTTCAAGGAATCGCCATTGCGTTTGCCAGCAAACTTGTAATAGTCCCTTTCATTTGCGATGTTCGTCTGGGGGACATGGCGGTGTTCGCTGCGTGTTCTTCCAAATTCAGCAGGACTGCCCTCGCCTTTTCCTTCTTCGCTTTGGAGAACTCACAATCCTGCCGTGTCTTACCATTATTGCGGGTTGACAGACTCTTGTGTGATGAATTTATGTTGGTATTAAATGTATCGCGTATCATCCTGAAGAGGATGGTTCCATGGTACTTGTAAATGTCCTAGAAGGGACCACATGTCCAGTAGTATTACACGGACACCAATTGTGGCACAATTCTGGCAGCACCAAATTGACATGACACATATTCCAGTGTTGAATATGCGTGGCAACGCAGACTTGTTTCCGCGACTTCACCACAAGAGAAACGTCTTTTTCACATGATGCCCAAGTGACGATGATCCGTGAGAGAAACGTGTCCATGTCTGTTGGCCAACGTAGAATGGCCACGGCACTTCAAACAAGGCATCTAAACACCTACACACGAGAACCCTTTTACCCTCCGCCCTGTTCTTCTCCGCCATTTTCGCATCCACGATATCCGCTGTGTGTGCCGAAGGTGACAGCCCAAAGAGGCAGTGGTGGAGAACAAAGCAAAACTTGGACTATACCTTCCTAATGTGGTACAGCGCGGGCCTCTCGGACTACTACATGCAGTTGGAGGATGATATCCAGCCGGTGCCTCACTTCATCCTGTCGGTTCGCAGCTACATCACCCGAAGTCTCCTGGGCCAACACTGGGTCATGGCATCCTTCTCCTCCCTGGGATTCATCGGCAAGATGTTCAACACTAGCGCCTCAGTGGCAGGACGTTTTCTATTTTGGCTCGGGTGAAGAAGCAAACTCTCATTCTGTTCTAGGCCCATGTTGTTCTTCGAGCCTAGGCAAGCGCCGAGGCTCAAGGTGGCGTAGCTCCCACCCCCCTTCAACTCCTCCCTGGTCCCTTGATCTGCTTCCTAGCCCGCCCTACACTGCCAACAGCTCTGCCCCACCCTCGGCTTGCATCGACAGCGTCCCTTAGCCTTCCTTGCTGCGCCTGTCACCCCCGCGATGTGTTGTTGCGTCGTGCTCTCGCGGATTTGCGCGGAGTACGCCAGCCCGCAGCCAATCTCACTGGCCTGCTGCGTCCTCTGAATTCCCCTTCCTTTCCTCGCCATGCTATCATCGATTTTGTGAGGCACGACTGCCTCAGCACCTCCTAAATATCCAAGCCATGCTCACCTGTCGCGCCCGCGGCATGCTGGCCGTGCTCTCGCCAATGTTGTGTCGGCCCCACAAACATAGACTGCCGCTGGCAACAATCAAAGCTACTGCCTTCAGAGCACATGTAGCAGGAACTGTATATTGCTTGACCTGGATAGCTACCTCAAAGGAAACGCCTGAAATTTCCGCAACACTTCATTGAACCATTGAACATGTATTGCAAAGTGTTTAAATCCGGCGGTGTACTGGCTACTTTTGCTGGTGCTTCTGGGCGACTGTCTTGCAAGCTTCCTGTCAATCAGGTTGTCCGATGCAGACTGTGAATAGTGTTTGGCTTTGTGACAGAGCTTCAGCACCCCCCAAGTTAACAGTAAAGGAGGGCCATATGTTTCTCCCTGATGCGGAGCGCATTTGCCATCCCGTTTCGGCCTGAGTCTAATCGCGGCCAAGGCCATCTTCCTTCCTTGGCGCAGTTCCTGCTGACCTTCAGCACGGAGGCCCCTCAAATCAGATCGCTGCCGTTGCTCAGCTGTCCCGACGTCCGCATCAGTTGAATGATTAGTCTTTTCCCAGTTGCCCAGTGGTGCCCTTGTTGCCCTCTTTTTGGGAAGGGTGTCCCTTTTAAAGTCAACCAACCAGAAAAGGGTGTGCTTTTTTTCCCATGGCCACTGGGCATCTGAGTTTTGGTGCTCAAACCCTCTCAGCTTAGAGGCCCAGGACGTATCCCACCTCCGCAGGCGCCGTGCGACTGGCTGGTGTGGGTGTGGATCGACGCCATGAGCCCTTGGCCGGTGACGCCTGACATCCCCAAGGATGTGGAGAAGGAGCAGCTCGCACAGTGGTTCAGTGGGCTTGGGCGCTCATTCCAGCGGAGTTGTTCTTCCGGTTAGTGCCATCAGCTTTTTGCAGGGCCATGTTTTTTGTTTTTTTTAATCAATCAGGTTTGTGTATACAGCGTCCGTCTGACTTTCTTGGGAAAGCATCAGTTTGCGCCCGCTTGCATCCAGCGCAGGTCCCTTGCAGCATCGGCGGAGGTCATTTGGTTTGGATGTTTCCAAAACCAAATGGAGATTATCAAAATAGTGTTCAAAGTCAATTCTAAAGGAAAGCAAACCTTTAGAATGTTTTCTGGTGTTGTGTGGCAGAGTTCCCATTTCTGGGTCGAAACCTAAGAAAAGCGTGGCATGGAGAACTTAGCATTTGTCAGCCTTGCTGTTCGGAGGCTCCTCCTTTTTGAAAAGCTTTCAAAGTTTGGAACATGGCGTTTTTGCCTGCGCCCACTGGGGAGGCTTTGTATGTTTGTAGATTGGGATGCACTTTCCTTTGAACTGGGGCGAACACTTTGTGGCTACTCGGCAGCCATCACTTTCAGGTCTTGTTTTTCGCAAAAGCATCTCTGATAATTGCGCTCTGCTGTAGGTTTTGGGTGGGGCGCCGCAAGACGCAGGGCCGGGACAGAGACAAAAAGGACACAGAAACACGGTCGACCAGTCCCACCGGTCTCGCCTGCCCGGGATTGTTTGTTCACAGCGTCTCGCACCCCTGCGGCCTTGTTCGAAGTGGTCGAGGGTGCGAGGCTTGTGGAGTTTTTTCGAGTTTTTGGTTTCTCGAATACGTTGCGGGTGCCTTTCGGGATTGTCTTGGGGGATGTCCTTGGGGAATGTTTTTGGGTCTTTGCGGTTGTCTTGGTGATGTCTTTCGGTTCGAATATGTCTTCCGTGCGTCGTTGGGTCTGTCTTTTGAACCGTGCGGAATGTCTTTGGGGATGTGTTTGACGTTGGTGTTTGAGATATCTGTTTTGGTTTAGGGACTTCTTTGCGATTGTCTTGGGCGATGTCTCTTTGGAAGTATTTGGAAGAAGTTGGATGTCTGTTTTGGGGTGCTGTCTTCGCGGATGACTTTGGGGATGCCTTTGCAAGGAGTCTTTGGGGGATGCTTCAGGGGGATGTCTTTCGGGGTGTCTCTGGAAATGTCTTTGCGGGCGCTGTATTCAGGGGATGTCTTGTCTTCCGATAGCATCTTGGGAAGTGACTGTGCGATTGTCTTGGGATGTCTGCAGGTTTTTTGGGGGAAATCTTTGCGGTTGTCTTGGGCTTGGGGATGTCTTTGAGAGTGTATTTTGGGAATGTCGTTGTGGTTCTCTTTGGGGACAACATTGGGGATTCTCTCGGAATGTCTTCTGTGGTTCGCTTTGAGGACACCTTTCTAGTCGTCTCGTTGTCCTCTGGGGTTGCGCAATTCTGCATTCAAGTCCGTGGCTTTCTGCATTCAGGTTTTTCTACAAGACAGGTGACTTTAGAAATGGCCTCCCATTCGAGACCTGGGGGTGCGAAGCCGCGGTTGAAGGAGCGAGCGTTGTTGGGAGGCACGAAAAGCGAGACGAGCGGCGGAAAGACTAGAGTAATGTGTCGGGCAAGGCGCTGGGAAGCTGGGAATGATTCCGGAAGAACTGCAAAGGTTCGCAGACGTTGCTGGGAACTCTCCTGGAAAGGTGCAGCGCGAGACCGGTGCTGGGAATGGTCCCGGGACTGGAGCAGCAACGGGCAACGGTGGGAAGATGCGCCCGGGTTCTTGGACAAGTTGCCAACAGTCCGTTCCTGGAGTCCCCCACTCGTTCGAAAGTTTAGACACTACAAAGCCTTGGTTCGTGGACAAGCCGCGAAGGGCACATGGCATAGGGAACAGAAGTTCCCAAAAGTATGCTTGAGTCAGCAAGCCGGCACGCAGCGTTTGTGTGGCTTTTGGATTCCCGGGGCTCCACCTGTTTTTCAAGACTGGTGTGCCAGAAGCAAAAGCAAATGCTGAAGGCTCAACTCGTTGATGGTGCAATTTGGGGGCGGCCATGGGTTTCTCACAGGGTGAAATGTCGGTGACGGCATGGATCACTAGCGGGCGACGGCCTTCTTTCTGCTGAGGAAGGAGAAGAGGGACGAGGCAGCAAAGCAGGGCAAAGAGGCCATGAAGAAGCTGGGTTCCATGCGTGACTCATCTGCGCGAAGTGAGTCGGTCTGTTGATTTTCGCTTTCAACCAGTTTTCGCTGAATTCTTTGTCAAAGTCGATTGCCCTTCAAGACAAAAAATCAGCCCTTCGCCTTTTTCCAGCCCTTTGAGGTGACGACCTGCAGCCGTACTACCTCAACCTTTCTTCCTGGCCAAAGCTGTTCCAGAGCGCAGAGGCTCGTGTCACTGGGGAGTGGGCAAAAATGTCTGGCGATTTGTTCACTGCGCTCCAGGGATCAAAGAGCTGTCTGGCCAGCACTCGCGTAGTTGACCTTGACATTCCAGCGAGTGGGCGGGGTGTTGCCAGGTTTGCCAGCGCCAAATACGTTTCGAGCAGCGACAGGCAAACCGCGGCAAAGCCTTCCGTTTGACCCTGCCCTGGCCACTTCAAAATTTATTGAAATTGAAAGATGTCCATTTGGAGGCCTTGATTCAGCAAGGTGTGAAGGGCAATTCCTCGCAGACCACATGGTCCTCATTGTAAGTCACAGCCCAGAACCTCAAGAAGGAGCGATGAGGGAAATGTGGCTCTTGGGACTCTTGGGAGATACCAACCAGGAGACGGCGCCCAAAACCAACTTTGCAAACGTAAACTGGGTGTCATCGCAACCAAGGGCATGTTCCATGAAACCGACCTGTTGCTATGCTGGTTGCTGTTGCTGTTGCCATTGATGTTGCCTTTGCTGTTGCTGTTGTCATCGCTGTTGCTGGCGGCGGTGGTGGCAGCGCGAGGCAAGCATCATTACCGTGAAGACGCCACTGCCAGTAAATGGTGCTGTAGACCCGAACTTTCACAACGCGACGGTCGTGACGAACATGATTCCCTACGAGGCGCGCAACAGCATTGACCAGTCGGGTTTTCGTGGTGGTTTCAGTTTTTCTATGTTTGCTTGGAGTGGACAGACTTTTCCGACCCGATTACGCTAGTCATTTTTGAGTTCGGGCGATTCACTCAAGCCCAGCAGGCAGCAGAAGCTGATACATTGTGAAACATTCACAAACAGGCACGGACTATGATAAGTCATGAGCCTTCGCTCAGCATCCGTCTTGCCTGGCGAGGCGTTCATGGCCAAGCTGGTATATCCGCACGGAGACCCCATGGGCTTTTGGACGTCAGACACCTGCAAGGATCGCAAGGTTCAAGGCTGTCAGCTCGGCAAGAAGTACCTCCGCAGCTCGCCACCGAATTCTCTTTCAGAGAGAGTCCATATGTTAGCTATCGTCCTTCTTCCGAGTGAGTCTCCCTTAAAATGAAGGGAACACATGGGGATGCAGGTGGGCTTGAATTGCTTTGTTATCAAGGAGCGATCATAGCGCCAACACTGGTGAATATGCCCGGCATAGTTCACGAACAAAACGAGGTGCCCGACGCCACAAGGTCTTTTACATTTGGCAATCATGGGAATGTCCCTTTTGCATCCCAAGCGCAAGCTGGCAAACCCTGATGTTAATTACTCGAGTTTGAACAACTGGTGGTCAATGATGATATATGTTTTGTATGTTGCTATGTTCATTGGGTTGTTTTCTTCATTGATATGTGTGTCCCAAAAGAGTGACTCAGTCAAGCACGTCCTGTTTTGTAGTTTGCCATATTTTTAGTCTTGGGACTACTCCTAGTTTTGGTGACTACTCTTCTGGGTGGCTACTCTTTCTGATTTTCTTCCAGGCCGGAAGACATGAAGCAAGTTATCACAAGTGGCTGTTTGAAAGGATTTGTATACAGCCTATTTGATGGTTTCAGGCGTGCAACATGTTTGGATTTTGTTAGGTTGGGCTTTGGAAGCTGGCTGAGACAATGACTTCGGGCTGTGATGGAGCTGGCTATACTTCTTGTGCAGCGGGGACATTGCAGCCAACAGGAAGTGCTTGCTGTTGCACCTTAGGGCTGGTTCTGATTCAACTCTAGTTTGCAGGAGGTTTGACTTCGTATCAAGCGAGTCTCGCTAACAGCCGAGAAGGACTAGTCAACACATTGACATGATTGAAAAGGAGCACAAAGTGGAGAAAGCAGCAGCGATGCTACTGTGGGTGTATTACGCACCTGTTAATAGGTGGGTGTCAGACAAGCCGCTCGCAGAAGTCAAATGTGGTGTTTGTCTGCTTAAATGCTATACAGCACACCAGCATCAAGCAAGAACAGCCCTGCGGACCACTTAAGCAAACTGTGTTTTTGAGTTTGTTGCCAACCATGCCACCTGCATCCTTGCCAGGGCCAAAACGGTGACTATGCTTTCAGTGACAAAGTTGAACGAGTGCCAACACGTTCTCATAGCTATGGCTTACCGTATTCTGACAACAAATGGTGCCTGTAATCCTGATGTTTGTAGAACAATGCTTGAGCACCTTTGCCTGAATAGTCTAGTCATGCAGCCCAGATCCAGAGGCCGCAGAGGGTCACCTTTGACTACCGCCCTAAGAATCACCATAACCTAGACCAGCGACAGATTGTTCAACATCAACAGAAGTGTTCCAGATGAAATTTGTAATGTTGAGAAAGGCATGAATGAAGGCGAAAATCACGAAAGAGGACCGCAATACATAAAATAGTCTTTGATATCAGAAGACAAGATCTCGCATCTAGAACTGTTGTCCAAAATGTGAGGGATGCAAGACATTCAATGGAGATGTTCTTCCCCACCGCTGCGTTCTTCCAACAGGGCCCTATTGGCAAGAACGGCTTCCACCAGGTTCCCACAGCGCAGCGGCGCTCCCGTCTTCAAATTCCAGCAATCTCTTTCCATCCTGCAGAGGTCGCGGAAATGAAAACCGATGGGTGGGATTTCGGGCCGCATCGGGCCCGCATCGAACCAGTGGCCTGTTTGGCAGCCGAGGTTTGATCTTTGAGGAGCCGCTGAGTGACACTGTGAAGGTGTCGCTACGCCAGAGCCGGCCCGGCCACGCAGCTCGGTGTTTTTCGGGAACGGGGCACTGCCAAAATTAATGCGGATCACACGAAGTCTCTTGGGAAGGGAGCTGGAAGAAAAATGCTTGAACGGGCCGAAATCAGTGTGTGTGTGTGTGTTGTGGTTTTGTGGTGGGCCCAACCTGTTGACCCCATGCTGCCATCAGTGTCTTTGTTTCTTCCACAAGCAAATTTCTTTCAAATGCCAAGGCTTGACAATGGGTTGGGAGTTTGAGACCAAGGGCCGCAGTCGGCGCAGTGGAGGAGTTGAAAAAGGAGCTCTTTAGGACTGGCCAAGGCCACTGTGCTTGTTGACATTCCTCGTAGATGCGGCTGCTAGTAGGGGAATAGCCGTTCTCAATGTTCATTCTTTAAAGTTATTGCACAAATGACGCACGCACCATGTTTCCATAATATCCTCGGGTTTTGGCGAGCAAACTCCTGCAGGACTGATGTGCCTTTTTGCGTGTTGAGCAGCCATATTGGACCTTGAGTTCAGCTCCACATCCTCAAACAACCTCCATATTAGAGCATTGTATGTGTTGGTGATGTTCAATCGACAATAGTCACCTATATCACAATGGTAACAATGGTATGTGTGGTGGACGTCTTGTTCAGCGGTCTCCAAAATCGCATCCAAGGAGGCGGACTTCATCCGCCAGGGCTCTCTCCTCTCGTCGAAGGACGTGAGCTGCGGAAAGCCCGTGCGCCTCAAGGCGCTCGCCCAGCCAGAGGACAGAGGTGTCGGATTGGAATGCAACTGTCGTGGTTCCGGATAAAGAAGCTGACTACATATCGTGACGTTGTGTGTGAAATCTAGGCTTTGTCTACTCCCGTCATGGTCATTTTGCTTGACCTTCCTCCTTCAGTTCTCGGCCTCCCATGCCGCCAAGGCTTGCTATGGCAGTTCAAGGCTTGAAAGAAGTTGTGGTCCCCAAGTAACTCCAGCTAGTTTTGCGACAGTGCAAACAACAACCATGCTGCAGGCAAGGTGGGGACGTTGAATCCTGTTTGTTTTGGATGTCTTGTGGTTTCCGGCAGGCATGGCGCATATAAGGTGTGCGGTAGACGACATGTGTCCACCGGGATCTTCAGCTAAAACGTCCCGCCAATGGAAGCTGACAGCCTGACAGGGCCCTTGACGGGTGGGTTTGAAGGGAGGCTCAAAGGGTTGAAATGCAAGCAGAAAGCAGACAGACCCAGGCAACAAAAACCAGCCGCGCAAGGCATTAATTTGGAGAGCGAATCAAGAGTAAGACAAGCAGCCAGATGACAGTTGTCCGGCCTCTTGATCTTGTGACCCTTTGTGTCTAAGTTGTGACGAACATTTGCGAGTCGTGGTTCAGGAACATCATGAGTTTCGAGGTGTCATGCTCGCTGGGAACCATCATGTTGGATAGAAATGCACCGGTTCAATCTCGTTCTGGCTTAGTCTATTTTGTTTGAAACGGACTCCACGCACTGTCTTCCGTGGGTGTGTTAGGTTCAACGGCCGTTGCTTTGCCAGGAGACCTGGGAGGGACCTTTGGATGAGGTTCGCTGCTTGGAGGTGACCCTGGACAAAGGTCAGGAGGAGTCTCCAGCTCAAACACCAAATCGATGGCTTGGTTGCTTCGGGTTCTTTTGACGGTGTCCTTCCGGTTTCCTCCTGATGAACAAGCCTTCCTCCCGTTTGCGCACCTGTCATGTTCGAAAAGGCACACCTGCCATCTTCACGTTGTTTGGCTTGCAAAGGAGTGGATTGCTATCCGGGAGATTCTGGTCGAGACCCCGAGGCCGGAGCCAGAAAAGAACCGAACCAAGTCACTCTTGACGCCAGTTTTCCGGTAGTTTGCTTGGAGCTCGGAGACGATTGTGTCAGGAAGCTCATAGAGAGTGAGACGAGGCCGTATCCATCTCACACCTCTGCCTCGCACTCCTCATACGCCTTGCGTCATGCGTTGGCCGCTGCGGTTGTGGGCTTCTTGTCTGGCACGATGGCGTGGCTGGTCATTTGGTACAACGAGGGCACCGTGCGATCCGTGGGCTGTTTTGCGCCCTGGACGATGGTCTATTTGCTCCTTCTGGACGCGGGTATGCTGAGCATCGTTCAGACCCAGCCAATTCCACCCGCACGGCTGGAGTTTGAGCCCGCAACGACCTCTGGCGCACCTGTTGCCTCCAACGAGATTGGCAGCTGCAAGAAGGGCAGACGTTCCAGGGGTCTTCCCATGGACTGGCGACTTTTGCAATCTGGCATTGCCCTTGTGGACGAAAGGCGTTTGAAACACCTAGGCCCCGCCAAGGACCCGCGACAGGGGCCGGTGACAAAGCATCGCGTTTCCATCGGTGTGATTGCAGAGGCTGAGATGGATGCCGCAGCTGTTGCCGATGCAGTTCTAGCACTGCTGGCACGAGGCAGTGGGCAAGTCACTGTGGCGGTGCTTGTTGCGAACCAAGTTACAGGACGACGGCATGAATTGGTGCGAAGACTGCAGGGCACACTTGCGGAGCGCACTGATGAGGCCTATAGAGATTTAGTACATTTGCTGGACCCTTCACCTGCTTTATATCCTGAACGCCCTGCACGCACAGCCAATGTCGACCTGGCATTGCTCGCACGTTTCCTAGAGCCCTTGGCCGAGACTTTTATGGTTGTAGAGCCGATGGCTGCTCTGGTGCCAAATTACTTTGACCATATGAAGCGCTACATCGATATGCTGGAGTCTTCTGGCATACCCTGGATTGTAGTGGAGTTCAGTCCGCAGGGGTATCGACGCAAGCTGGTTCGCTCCAGGCTTCTACGGCGGTTTCAAGAACTTTGTCCTGCAAGAATGTGCGTTTTCTAGCCATCACGAAAGCAGAGTGTTGATAGTGAGTGGGGTTGGACGTTGGACATCAGACCGAGAGCAAGTGAGACAGCATCTTCCTTTCAAACCAAGAAGGCCCTAATTACCTATCACAGGGAAAAGCTAGTTTTGGAGAGCAAAGGTTTAGAGTCTAGAGCGGTGCTGCAGTGAGGCGATGTGGTGTCCCAAAAGGGCCGAAGGGCTGAATTCAGCGAGCCTGAGGAGATGCTGCTCATGTTCCCAGAGGCCCCAGCAGATTTGCTGTTTTGGGACTTTATCGACGTGGTCGGTAATGAGACAGCGCCCAAGTCGATTTACCTTGGAGCCCTGGCAGTGAGTTTGCGTACGAGCACGAGAATGATGATTGCATAGATATTGTATGTGAGCACATACGAAAACGTGTGCATGTATGTGTATATATATATACATATGCAGTGGTATGTGATTATGTGTTGTCAAATTGTGTGTTTGCTCTGAGTGTGTGTTTTCGCAAAACACCACAACTCTCCTTGTCCTGGGGCACATGTCGTCCGTTGAGATGTGGGGTCGATCAGATGAAAACAGTTGTGACCTACACTTGGGCCCATGCATAGTGGACGCAACACTGTGTCAAACTGGCCCCCTAGCTTACAGTGGGACACTCCAGCTTGAGGATTGTGTAACGCTCATAAGCGGGATCACTTTGAAACGTTCAATCGCTCCTGGGCTTGATCCTGACTTCGCCTACCTCGATCCTTTCGGGACATCCACAGAGCCTGCGAAGGACATGCACTGACGTGTTGCCCCCGGTTGCCAACGGAACCCGTTAGTCAATACTTGCACTATCTTGCACCTGACAGTGTGTTTTGGAGAAACGAGTTATCCGCAATTGTGTACTATCATTGATTTTTATGGTTCTTGTATGCTAAGGGAATCGCTTAGCCATCACTGGAACTGGCAAGCGTGTGCAGACTGAGCATTCTTTGGAAGGCTGACATCCACCTTCAGCTGCTCATTTCTTGCATCTGAGGAACGGATGCGGGCAAGCGGTGGCGGCCAGATGTGAAGTTGCAGCACAATAAGGTTACAGTCCCCTGTCCTACAGCATATTGTGTGCGCGCATGTTGTGTGTGTGTGTGTTCCTGTTATTACCTCCATAGAAGGATCTCAGGGCGTTTTCTTTCCTCAAGATGACTTAAGTATCGCCTTTGACTGTCAAAGCACCTGCAGGGTTGGAGCTGGCATGGCTTTGTGCTGGGTACTAGTTAGTACTGTCGAGGTTGGAGTAGAAGGTTTCTGCTTGGGAGGACAACATTTGTTCTGCGAAGGGACGTCTCAAGAATCATGACTGAAGCGTGTTGGTATGTTTCCAAACGTGGATGATCTTCAAAGCTCACGCCGGGGTAAATCTGTTGTCAGAGTTGTTCCGGTCCTGCCAGGGAGTAGTTCCGCATTAGCAACGGTCTACACGTTCAAGGCTCATTTGGCATTCGAGCGAGATTATTGAATTGACAAGTCCTGACTGCGTCGTTGTCCTGCCAAAGGAGTGTTGCAACTACGTTCAAGAACCACGAAGCACACTGCTATCGCGCAGTTCCGCCATACGGCAACATTTCAACATGGTGCATATTCCCACCCAAAGCCAAACAAAGGGGGCGGCAAATTGAGCAAACATCAGTTCCAATCCCCGAGGCCATCTTGGAACACCTTGGCGACGTATCCTCTTTGGAGGGCAAAGTACAGAGGGCGCAGGAGGCAGCGAATTCCTCGTGTTCGGTCCTGACATTTAGCAAGAAAGCTAAAGCATATTGGTTGTTCATCGATTGTAAGCATCATCTTCCGTGGGGAACCCTCTCCTGTCTTCATGTTCTTAAATCATACAACTCACAGATATTGTTCGAGACACTGCAGAGCCGCATGCTTTTCAGATCGGTACAGCAAGAGAGACGGAGTTTTAGTCAGAACCCCCCCCCCCCCTTCAGCTTTTGGACACCTCAAGATCCTGGCTGATTGCAGTGGGCGCTCGCCATGAGGGGCCAAATTTGCACACCAACTTGGCATGGTTATGTTGTTATTCCACTCAGCGTAACGGTGTGTTCACTCCAGTACTAGTGGTAGCTCAGTACTGAAGGGCTACAGAATGACCTTGCCATGGCTGATTTTGAGAGCCATGTCCAATCTAATGTCAGCGGTCCTGATGCGTTGGTCAGTCTTACTTCAAGCAGCACAAGCTGGTGGACTCGCTTTTTGACAATCCGCCTGCCAAGCTCTATACCAACATGCCTGAGCCCTGCTCTCAGCTCGAAAGGAATACCGCTGGCTTCATGAATGTCCGGGTCCAAAAGCAGCTCACAAAGGTGTGGGATGCAAAAACGTACCCCTTTTTGTTGACCTCTTTCCAAGGTACCTAGGAGTTTGCAGTCACTGAGGCTTGCAAGAGGTACCTCAAGGTCCCCTGTAACTGGTATGTGTCAGGCAAGGTCCGCCGGCTTGCATCCGAATGGGGGCCTCAGAGAACCAGACCCAAATGCCTCATAAGCATGATATGAATGCGACCAGATCCGTAAGCAATGAGCTCCGGGAGTCCATGCAAAGTACGGTTTCATCCAATCGAAACATGTGGTCAAGCAGAGCATGCACATCCTTTTGTAGAAGGATCATTGAGGCAGCCCTTGCAAGTTTCCTGGTCCTGGATTCTTCGTTGTAGGTGAGGGTGCCATAATCAGTCCAAAGAGCAGGGCGCTCACGCAGGCGACGAAATAGGCCTGCACAAGCGCCCTTCCGTGTATTTCCACAGAAGAAATGGTTCAAACAACGAGCACGGCAGCAACCAGAAAGCCACATCCATGCAAAGTCTCATACACATAGGTGTCCTGTTTGGTTGTTTTGGTCGAAGAATAGATGGCACTGGTTTACCTGGTGGTTAAATCATCTACCAGGGCCATCTATTTCCCCTAAAAGGACACCTATGCTCATACATGGAAATCTTGGAATCTGCCAATGAGAAAACGGTTTCTCTTTTTTGTAATGAAATCCGAGTAACGAGGCCCTCGCTCCGCGCCCAGGACTCGGCCGGAGATCTTGCAGTCGGTCTACGACGGCTCGGAGGTGATCGGCCAGGCGGAGCGAGCGACGCGAAACCAAACATCTCGGCACGCCAAGGGGATTGGGATGTTCACTGAGGGTACCAGATTGACTCATGGCCAGATGTTGACCCGATTCCTTCCAGCTTAAAGTATGAGGGAAGCCTTTGGAGGTATCGTTTTGTGGGGTCCATTCAACGAGGAAATATCCATAACTTGAGTGTTCTTGAAATCAAGCCAACGACCGTTTTAGCCTGTCGCCCCACTTTGACAGAAGCTGCACGTCTCTTGCATCCTCAACGACTAGGTTAACTCCGTGAACACATGCACGTTGAGCCACACACACACACACGAAGCGGGATACCCGGCAACAACAAATTGGAATCGTGGAAAGCTTGAACCTACGCTTTGGTGCTTTTGAATGGGACAGGTTGGCCTGGGCTGCCATCAGCCCGAATAAGTGTTCCGTCACGGGAACACTAGACTGACCAACATGGTTGTCATTGGGGGCTTATGTGTTTTGGAATGTTGAATTCCACATTGTCAACAAATGTGTGCTGGGTGTGATGCTCGAAGCGGTGTAATCGTCCGTCATTGGGCGTGCCAAGCCACAATCGCACATTTAGCATCGCTGGTGCCAGAAATTTTTAGAGGTTTCCCTGGGTCGGGCGGTTCAACCGATCTGAGCCGAGGTGACTTGTGGCGGGCACTCAGCCAAGAGCTGCAGCGAATGTCCCCAAGGCCGGATGCTTTCCGAGAGGCTGAGGGCCCATCCAAGTCTGCGCCTCGCGCAAGAGCTAGGAAAATGAAAGCACATTCGGGTAAGCCACCATGGGCTTTATGGAAACAGGATCTCGGTGGAATTGTTCGGCTTGTGGACTCCAAGCCTTGTCCTTTTTGGTCGGCTGCGAGTTTCAGCCCACTTCAACCACTTTCTGCGGTATGGGTAAGGTTTAGTGTTGGTTTTCTGTCGACATGGACAAAAGCTAGCGCTCACATGTTAGGTTTCATAGTGGTATTCTTCAAACGCGATCCATGAAGGGATTCAATTGCTTTTGACATCCTCGTGTTATGAGGCAAACAGGAGGTGGTCAGTGGCGATCATGTGGTTCGAAGACAATCTAGAGATGTCTGGAAACAGGATGGATGGCCAGCAAAGAATGGGTTGCCTTGTGACACAAGGCAGGCAACCTTCTAACCTTCTAGCTGTGCTTGCCAGGAGGCCTAAAGGTACAAAAAGCAGGCTTGTCCTCCGGCCAAACTGAGCACCGTTCAGTCAGGGCATGGGGCGAGCTGGTGCAACCTGGACTGCGGCTGGGCGGTCCTGCCATGGCCTTTTGCAATGCGACTGCAAGGGATTCATTTTCACCGCCGCAACCCGGACAAGATCCCTGACAGGGAAGTCGCAAAAATGGAGTAAAAACACAGTACATGGGCTGATAATCAGCCCTAGGTGAGACTCAAGTGTCGTTTCTGGTTTACTACCCGGAAGCACATAGACATCCTAGCAAAGCCGGTCAGTTTCCATGTTAATTGGTGGTAACGGCTTTACTGGGCCATGCGGTCTTGTGTATTTGTGTGATCTACGGACGATGCAACATATTAAGTGTTATTCACTGTGGGAAGGTCATTCGTGGATGTTCACTTGAACTAGTATGCCCAGTTTGAAGTGCGTGTCACATTTGACAAACCAATTGATGTTTGGACACTAGTCTTTGCTTCGGCCATTTGTCATTCTGGACTATGAGTGTGTGTATATATACATGGTAAAAGGAGGGAGGCAAAATTCACAACCGAGCTTTGGAGTTTAGGTCGTTTGTTGATTGTGGTTGATCAGGAATCTACGTGCACTGCATCTACTGCTTAGCGCAGGATATGCTATTAGAAATATTGCGTTGCCTTTCATGTCAATTGACCCTGTCCAGAAACCAATAGACCGTCAGAGTTGCTACCAGTTGCACATACTGGTCGGGTTCTTCCTACATGAGCTGGTGCGAATCCCAACTGACTCGGTTTAACCAACGCGAGGGGCAACTTATTGGCTTTTTCAGGGGCCACGCGTGTTCCCTTTTAAGTTGAGCACAACATGCGTTGCCAATTGATACTTGTGAGGTTGTGTTCCTTTGGCGGTGAACTTGTTGGAGCCTGGCCGGAGCCGAAGAAAGAAACAAACAGCAAAGCGACAGCAAGCAACGACCCTTTTCCGAGCTGTGAGCAAGTTTAGTCATGTGACCTGCGCCAGCGAAAGACGCGTTCTTTTCCCAGATTGTGAAGACCTTCTTTTTGGTTTGTTTCAATTCCCATATTTGTTCGACCTCCAAGAGTGACCTTTTTATTGGAGCCCATCAGTGAATTGTATCTTTTGGGGGAAGTCCGGTGATGCTGGCGTTTTCGTTTGCTCCAATTTGCATTGTGCTGGTTTGATCCGGGATACAAACGCGCCAGGTGGAGGGTTCCTGCAAGGCCCTGTTCAGAGCCTCCGCTGTGTCCTCGCACCAGGAGGGAATTGCAGACAACTGTCCGACCGACCCACCAGAAGATTCAGGCGAGTACAAATCATGCCCCGAACCACATTGAAATCTGCGAATATTTTGCAAAGATTCAAGGCCTCTATTCTGTGTGCTGTGCACATGTTGCATTACTCTTGGGGCTTTAAACATCGCCTTTCCCAGCCAAGATGTGAATGATACGTTTTCCAGACCCTCAGGGAGCCCGCCCGATTGCGTTATGCAACCAGCTGCCTTCTAAAGGATTCAGCAGGACAAGCCTGGCCAGACATCACACCGGACCATAGGGGTCAAGAACATCCTATCATCCCACACCGACCAGAAAGATTCATCACTTCGCAAGCAGGCCTATGGCTTTTGAAGCATGTGGAGCGACAGCTCATTTGTCCCGAAAACCTTTGCTAAAATGTCGCCCGCCTGGACTCACCTGTTAGGCTTGCAAAAAGGGAAGCTTTCCGAACGTACAGCTTCTGCATATATGACGTACCAAACCTCTTATCATATCATGATAAGAGGTTTGCCCCCAAGACACAGAAATACAATGCCTGCGAATCGATGTCTCTTGTTGTGACTTCAGGCGCTAGATAGGGATACGCGGCGGGTTTCCTTGCCAATTGTGTTTACAAGAAAAGTAGCACGCGGGCCGCCGGTTTTTGGGGTCCCAAAATTTAGGATGGTTGTAAAATCAGACCAACCCACACATTGGCACGTCAATACTTGGTGCGCGTCGTTCTCTTCTACACGGGCTTCTTCGTGATCCTGAAGATGCTAGTCAGCCCGTGGGCGCCTATGCAGAACCAGTAGGTCATAGTTCTAAGAGTTGATCCCTTGTCCTTGGCCACAACGACTGCGAAAGAATACGAGGGCCGATTTTTCAGAAGAGAAGCAGCCCCATAGTCTTTCCAGGGCCCCTTGGCCTTGGTCAGGATCTTTGGCTTGAGCTGGTCTTTGAGGAGCCGCAAGATGCTCGGCGCTCGGCACATGGCTTCCGATTCCGACGCTCTTGTTTGCTTGTTTGGGGAAAGGTGGCACTTGGGTGGCAAAATCCAATGGGTTCGTGGCGCTGAGCGTTTGGCCATCTTGTGGCGAGCGCTGAGGTGGAGATTGTCAACCTCCGCATGGGGGGTACAGCCCGCGCCTCGCTTTGGAGCTGGATGCTGCCCTTTCAGTGAGTCCGCATGCATCGGCATTAAGTTTGTGCTGGAACCCTCCCACCTGATTTTCAGGCAAGCTGAAACGAAAGAGAACACCGTTGATAAGCCAGAGCATAGCAAGAACACATACTTGGCTTCCATGCGCAACGTGCTTGAAGTAAGTTGAGATTACCACAGTTTCCGGAGGTTCCTTCCGGAACAAACCCCGCTGCCAAGTCTACTTGTTAGGCTCCGCAATGGTTGCTCTCGATGTCATGTCAATGGCACACGTACACAAGCAACACGAACACGACCCCAAGACCCGGCCATGGTGAGACTGGCCCATGGTGTACTGTGAAAAGCATTGCAGGGAATGGACTTCGGGAGTTTGAATCACGGCACCTCGTGTTTCCGCTGTGCGCTTGCTTTGCGTTCCTTTTTCCGTCCACTCAGCGGGGCGTTCCAATTTCACTCTGCTTGTTTCCGCGGCCCAGGTCAAGCCGCCCTGTGACAAGTGCAAAGACACACCCGCGCGGCACTCAAGCTGAACCGGTCTGCTGAGACAGCCCCCGAGAATGGTCCTTCGTAAAGGGCTGTACGATACGTATGTATCTTGTTTGCTTTCTAGCTAGTCAAGCCCCAGAAGCTTGCAGATGGAGAAGTCCTAGGGCCCTCGGGGAACTCCTTTGAACATGGGTGATGCTAAGTTAGAGGCAACGTGTCCAGCAATGTCCAGCAAGTCGTTGAGTATCGCAAGTCAGCCAAACTCGAAAAGCGCATGTGAGCCAGGGTGCTGAGTCCCCCGACGATGACTTCAACCACGCCTTGGACGACGCAGAGATGTCCGCAGCTGAGTTAAGACCGGTGCCGAAAGGGATACGATGAATAAGTCATTTTCAGGGACTTGCTCACTTTGAGGGTTTGACACGTGTTGTTGGGCTCATTTTGTGCGTTTCAACTGGCTGACTCATGGCCGTTACGTGTGAGATGGCAAGTCACAGTGTCAAGTCCAAGGTCAAACACTTGATTGGTTGCGTGGGCTCAGCGGTGCCTGGTGATGGGTGATGGTCATCAACCATTTAGTCCCCAACCTTTGTGACGGCCTTTGTTGGCGAACCGTCTCGGTGATTAAGGAACTTTTGAACCTTGCACCAGCAGGATCTAGGATTGGGTCCGTATTTGGAACTTTCGCCGGGGCACCGCAAGCATTGAAACACGATTTGAAGGGCCTCCAACGTGCGTAGCAGGTGGGATGTCATGGCGCATGTTCCCAATATGAGATCTGCGTGAAGGGAACCATGCTTGGCGCACACAATCACTGTAGTTGTTTGCTTTCGGGGCACTGAATCAGCCCCAAGCGGGCAACCAAACAGATTTGGCTTATTGCGCTAGCTCAAACAAGATGAGGCATGCAGTTGAGGGAGGAGTTGTTTGGCCCAAGCGGCTGCGCGGAAACGCATTGCAGCATCCTCTTGCCCTGTCCACCACCTGCCCAGTGCAGTGATTCAGCTTACCCGCCCTTTTTGCTCAGTCCCTCGCCCAGGCTGCTGGGACAAGGCTTCTCCATGGGCAGCGCGGGAGCCTCAACCAGCGGATGAATAAGATTTGTTTGCTCAACAGTGATATGATGCTTTCTTTAGTCTTAGTCACCTGTGTGCGTGAGGCTTGCAGCCGGTACTTCAAAGTTCAGAACGTGGTCGGGCGAGAGGCGGGCCTTCTTGAAGGGCCACGGTGTTTGGTGCCAATGGAGGGTTCCCGAAAAAGGTGAGCCCATTCATGTCTCCTTCCAAGGCCTTTGGCGTTTGAGAGGTGTCCGGTGTCCAGGCAAAATCAAGGAGGCGGAGCTCAAAGAAACACAAAGAGCCTGCTTGGAGATTGGATGCCGAAGTATGAAAAATAAAAAGAGATTCGCCTATGTGAACGGGTTTCCGCCAACTTCCGTTTGCTCTCCGTAAAAAGCAACCAGGATCTTGTGTAGCCTTCGTGTAGCTCGATTTTCAGAAAGCCCGTAGGCAAGAAGGAGCAATGGTGTCTCAACCGGAAGTCATGGTCAATTGACTGTCGATTCTGAATATTCTTATGGGCCGAAGACAGAATGGCAGAGCTCCCGGATTGCATTCCAGGTGTTCTGGAAAAGCAACCACGGCCGTGCGGAGAAGTCAGCATGAGCCTCAGCAGTTGCATTTGGCTTGATCGATGTTTGATTGGTTTGATTTTCCCTCAGAGGGTTGAGTTTGGTGAACGGCTCAACTCACCCCTGAATACATCAAGAAAGCGTCGGTCCACATTGCGTCCCATTTCTTAGCACTCCTTGAATCTATGACATGGGGAGCGAAAGTAAAACGGAGGGGTTGACAGAGGGGACCTTTTCACCTGCTTGCCTCGCTATAGATTTAAGTGGCCCCACCTAGTTGACCCTAGAAGAAACACCTTGAGGGCCCTGAGAGAGAAAGCCGCGACAAGTTAGGGGTCACAGGTCCCCCCGTAAGTATTTAGCACTGATTTAGTCTTGGTTTAATTGCTTAGAGCAGCCTTTGAATTGGTTTAGTATTGTTTAGCATTGGGTTGTATTGTTTGGTGTTGCCTTGCGCTAGTTTAGTATCTTTCGTCCTCTTCGGTGCTTTTGGGTCCTCTCCGTTTTGTCTTAGTTTAGCATTGCTAAGTTCTGCCTTTTGGCTGGAATGGCATTAGCTTAGCACTGGTTTGGTATCAAGAACTTTCTGCCGGGACATTTATTGCAGGCACGTTCTGCCAAGTTTGCATTGTCACGCGCGAACTTGTTCCTGAAGCAGTAGAAACCGAAGAGGGATTAAAAAGATGGGTTTGGAGAAAGCAGGCTCACAATAGATCTGAGAACACTTTCCTGAATTTGGTCCCCTTTGATTGATCGGAAGCCCTGCCCTACTCCCAAGTCCCTAGGGGCCTTGTGAGACGCAGATCAGTGCCTCCGGAGAGAATCCCCCGAGATCCGCTGCATCAAGATCTCCTTGCCTCGTGCTCGGCTCTCAGCAAATCTCATCACAACAACCGGTGCGCTTCGAAGTCAGTTTCCCTGAGTGACTTGAATTTGGAGCGAACTCACAAGAAGAAACCGTAGGAAGGGCCTACCACTGAATAGTACTATGTAGTTACCCACATACTCCAAATTGCACAAAGAAGGGAGGGTCGATTGTGGCCATCGCTGAAGGCGCCTTGTGAACTGACTCTTAAGTTCTAGTTCGCAGCAAAGAACCACCGTCAAGCCTTGAAGCTGAGTTCAAATGTTGTTTGTTGATGTTGAACTGCTGAACTTCTCATGTTTACTAAAAGAAGGCGTTGTCCCTCCCTGTCTCCTTCAACTCACAAGAGTGAAATGACTCCCCATGTGCTGGAATGAGAACTGTGTGAGCAGCTTGCGAAGGTGAGTCACTGCAGACTGAAGCCTCACCCAGACACACCCTAGCAGTTTCAGAGCGGCAAAGGATTTGTCAGCTCGCAACATGTTGGCAACATATTGTTGTTCAAGGTTCCCACATGTCGCGTGACTGTTGTTTTGCAACACTGCTCGACCTCCTTTGCATATCTACCCCATTTCTACCGCTTACTTCAAGCACCAGTTCTGCACACAACTGTCATGACGATGTATTAAGTTCATTTACCGAGCTTCGCTACGAGGAGACGAGGTGAGAAGTATTGAACGTCAGGAACATATGTGCTGGGCAAGCTCATTTGCGCAATCGATTTACAAAAAAAACGCGCACGAACTTGAAGAGACACCAAGCTCGCTGAGCACCATGCGGGATGTGTGTAGGAGGGACGTCCCTAGTGGACGGCTTTGCTTCTCCCAGGCCCAGCAGCATCCTTTGATCCTTCGGGCCCTCGATGTGCGAACCTCCAAGGACTGAGAGCGCCAGTTCACGAGCAAATGACATGTATATCCATGTTTCTCCTGACGCAAATGACGGTCAACCTCCATCTTAGTTCTAGTGGCATGATGGTTCCTTGGTTCAGCACTGAACTCCTGATGTTGATTTGTGTACTGGTTTGGTGTGTCACAGGTGTTACAGAGAGAGAGAGAGAGAGAGAGAGAGAGAGAGAGAGAGAGAGAGAGAGAGAGAGAGGGAGGGAGGGAGGGAGGGAGGGAGGGAGGGAGGGAGGGAGGGGGGGGAGATGCGGACCGAGGGAGAGAGAACCAGACCGTTCTATGAACAAGTTGGTGGCAAGAAACATTTGCCTACGCTCAGATGTTTGCTTGTTGTGATCTTCTCAATGAATTGTTTCTCATTTGGGGAATTGTCCCACTTGTTTCCAAGAAAATTAGAGAACGTGATACTTGTTCGTACCAGACTTTGATCTGCCAGACAACTGATAGTTGTCTCAGGGTTGTCGACGGCATGGATAAGCCTGTCAATTTCTCAATATAGAATCAGAGGATCGCGGAAGAAGGGCATGAACACATACATGTGCTTGAAAGGGGTGTCCAAACATTGGAAAACTCGAGCCTGCTTGTTTTGTCTAAACATTGCCGTGAGCGGTCCCAATTTGACGCACCTCCAATCCAGATTTAGGGCTATGTGTGTGTGTGTGTGCGCATAGCCGTTCACGCTTGCCAGGCAGGGTACGACAAGGCGGCCAAGCTTGCAGCAGCCAGGGCCTTGATTCATATGCAAAATTTGCAAAGCGCCGCGCACACTGCACGTCTACTGTGACGAGAAGTAGAAGTAGATATACCTAAGAACATGTCGTAAGCCGCCAACCATATTCCATGTTCCCTGAGAGTTGTGGTCTTTTCTTCTGAATGTTGGTGGTCGCCCTGCTTTTGCACGTGGCCCACCGGATATATCAACCAATGGTAATATGTTCAGTGATTCGTGCACGGAACAGATAGAGGAGGAAAAAAAGGAAGAAAACATGAAAAGCAGCGAGAGAGAGAGAGAGAGAGAGAGACAGAGAGAGGGAGAGAGAGCACCAGCCCACAAAGAAGAGCCGGAGAGAGAAAGCTCAAGACTGGTTGGTAATTAAGTGTTGTTGTAACTTAGTTGAGGAAAGAGCAAGCCTGCACTTTCACGATGCTGGCTGCTATCGTGTATCATCGTGCTTCCAGAGAAGAGTGGCGTATGAATCAATCGCGAAGAGCTTTGCATGCAACGTGGAACCTCTGGAAAGTCGAACAGTGTTGGGGGGAACCCTTGGTTCGTCGAGGGACACAAGAGGGAAGCCCTTCGCTCGCCGTTTCCCAATCTTAGGCTGGATTCAACGTGCCTGTGCGGGCGCGTTTTGGCTTGCGCCTGGGCAGCACAACGGCGACAACTCCAGAGCCCCTCAGCCCTCCCCCCGAAACCGCCAAGTTGCTTTTGAAAGAAGGTCCCTAAACGAGGAGGTCGGATGGACACATGTCAAGGAAAATCGTGTGGTGGTTGTCAGCTGGGCGATTCGGCCAATCTGACTGTCGCCTGTTGAAACTTTAAGCCTCACCATGCTCTCCCTGCACGTGCTGTAGTCCAAAGAACCGGGTTGCGTGGAGGAGTTGGCGAGGTTGACTACGGGTTGGCGGTTGCAAGAGGCAAGATCAACTGTTTCATCAAGCTTTTTGCTACTGCGCTCTGGGTTGTTGCAAGGACTATCCCTCGAGTGCCAACTTGCCAGTGGAGTCTATCGCCGTGTCACCATGGATGGCTGAGCCATGGAGCCGTTTCGGAGATTCTGGCAGGTCGCTGCGCGGCTCGCAGTTCGGAGTGGCCACAGAGGCCTTCAGCTGGAGAGCTTGGGGCGTCTCCTGGGTGAGTAGGCCACACAAGGGCTTGAATCAGTTTGATAGAGCGAGAACCTTCGTATGATCCTTGTGACCTTGTGGTTCGTGTTCTGTGGAATGGACGAACCCTTGAGATTTGCCTGTCTTCTCATCACAGACTATGCCTTTGCGTGTGCGGGCGTCTGGCCATCAAGCTAGTCCTACGGAAGGTTTCCCTGAGACCTGGTAAGAGCGAGCCATGTTTGGCAGCTTCAAGCGCGCAGAACGGGACTGGTGCGAATTCACAAATGGCTGTGGGTCAATACCAATGGGATCCCATTTTGGGGTAGGTACACCACCCATTTTAGTCTATTTTAGTGGGGATTGGGATGTTCACTGGGGGTACGGGATTTTGACCCATGGCCAAATGACCATGAAGTTTTGCCGGATCCCTTTGCAGGAGAATTGGAGAGGAGATCCCGATAGAGTGTATTGGACAGAGTGTAACTTTCAAAGGCTAGAAGTGTAACCTTCTCATTTTACACCCACTAGCCTTGTGCAATCTCATCGACTTGGCAATCGGTGAACCTCCAACGATTGCACCTGCTGGTCACGCTTTGCGTCCCTAGGTGTAAAATCCCGAGAGGTTGCACTTGCGGCCGGCCTCATTCTTGCATGCTCGCAGGTGTAAGGTTCGAGGTTGAGGCTTGCTTGGATTGTGTAGATGTCGTGAAGTCGCCCTAAGGCAATGTAAAAACGGGACGGCCCCAGGGCAAAATATAACCTAAGGGGACGGTATGTGGCAGGCAAGCTTCCTTGTCAAGGGAGTTTTCTCAGGTTCTGCTTTGGCGGGTGGGAGGGAATGCTTTGAAAGGATCACCCAAAGGGGCCCCCTGCTTCAACTTGGTCCTTTGCGATGAAAATAAGTGACCCGTTGCTAGCAGCAGGCATCGCTTTGGCAAGAGCAGCATTTGGAATGGGCCGCTGGCTCAGAGCGGGGAGAAAGTGAGAGCGAGAGAGCGGGCAAGAGAGAGAGAGAGAGAGAAGAGAGAGAGAGGGCAGGAGAGAGGGAGCGAGAGAGGAGGGGGTCGGGCCTTGCACTTTGAGTTGGTTTTTTTCTAGCGGGGAGGGAAGTGGGTATGCACTCTGCACGCGCCTCCAACCAAGCCATGCAATCCAGAATTGCAACTTGATGTTGCTCAATCCTTCGAGCAGGTTTCGTTTGGCATGTTCAGTCCCTGCAGACCGCGAGGCACACCTTTGACAGTTGGAACTTGTGGGCAAGGACTTGCATTTGCTTACGGCGTTTGGTTTTCCCTTTTTGGCTTCAATCCGTCCCTTGTTGGCTTCAAAGGAAAAGGGTCATGACTGGTACGTGTTTTTCTCCATATTTGTGTGACACCTCAAGCAAATGTGTTTGAGCGGCGTGTCCTTACTTATATAGCTGTGGGTCAAAACCAATGGAATCCCATTTTGGGGTAGGTGCACCACCCATTTTAGTCTATTTTAGTGGGGATTGGGATGTTCACTGGGGGTACGGCATTTTTTGACCCATGGCCATATTCCTTGCTGATTGAAGGTCTTGCTGCTGAGCGTGGCGCTGGTGTCCGGCGTTGGCTCCTCAGTGCAAGCCCTGCGCGTGGGTTTCTTGTTGCGGCTTTGGTTTCATTTGGTCATACGGTTCTGCTGGTGTCAGAGCCCTGTGCTCCATGGAGATGGTCGCCATTCCCTTGTCAAGGATCACATATCGCGAGTATGCCATCTGTCGCGAACAGTCAGCCTTTCTCAGCCCCCTTGGAAGTGCGGCATCTCAAGGCATCTCAAGGCATCTCAAGGCATCTCAAGGCATCTCAAGGCTTCATGGTGGAAGTGTTGCATTGGCTGCTTGTTTTCTTCGCCCACGTTCCTCGTGGCTCACAGGCGCCCAATGTTTGGTTGCTGAGTAGGATCCTTTTCGATAGCCCTACAAGCAATCGCCATTGTCGCCACTGCCCCCCCCCCTCGCATGAAAGGTGCTCCCTCGCAACGGGTGAAACAAGCCAACAGACAATGTCGACGTATTTGCAATGTCTAGACAGCCCAACCCTTTGTGGAAGTCAATTGCTTGATCCAAGCTTTGTTTCCCTGCATTCTGTTTCATTCCTTCTTATCCCTTGCTTCTCTTGTATTTCTGCAAGTATTGATATTCCCCTTAGCTTTCAGCTTCAATGAATAACGTGACTGGGTCCCAGTCCCGTGTCCGGCGCAGCCCTTTGAGGCCTTCGCAGGTGTCCTGGGCTGCCTGAGGCCGCGGCCGAAGCGCCGGAAGGTGGCGGCGTCCGCCTGAGGCGACTCGGACGGGGCTCGTGGGACGAGCACGTGCAACCCGTGACGTGGCGCAAAACGTTCCTGTGGAGCTTGTTGCGGGGTTTCAAAGGAGTTCGTCCATCCTCTGTATAATAGAATTGTACAATTCGTCTTGTGGAGCTTGTTTGCTGACCTTCTTCCGGCCAGGATTTTTTGTCGTGGGGTTGATGCAAGGAGGAATGTGAGGAACCCTGCTGGACGGAGCCGATTGGGTTGGACAAATCATATTTTCGTAGCACCCTTTTCCCAACTCAGGAGGCAGTTTACCATTTCGGGACACATTTTTGGGCATGGCACTTTCTGGGTCCTGATTCACGGAGAACGTTAGCTTGATGAACAGTCTTCGAGCTCTGGGCTGTTTTGTGTGTGTGTGTGTGTGCACGATCGGTTTTTTGCTTGATTCTTGCATACTTGCATACTCTTTTGGCATGTCCAATTGGAAGAGCCGATGTCTCTTTGTTGCTTGTAGTGTAGAGTTGCAGCAGCAACTGTGGCAGTTGGTATCAAACAGCATGGCATACGCCTCTTTGGTGTATAGCCAGCTGGGCATGTTCTGTTCTTCACACGGCGATATGTGCGCATTGATGTTGCACCAGTTTCAAGAGAAGAAAAGTGGTTTCCACTAATGCAGCTTCTGTCTTGAAGGGGCTCCAGCACATGTCGTTCGAAGATTGCGGAAACTTCCAGTCCAGATATTGCCATCAATCAGAAAATTGAAAGCGTCAAGTGAAAGGATCTTGTTGCCACCTCGGTTGCTTACCTCAGTTGCTTACATTTAGCTAAGCCTCAGTTGCCACCTCAGTTGCCACCACCAAGGCCCTGTCTCCTCTAATTCATGGATCACATTCGACATCCTGCCAAAGTCGGGATATGTATATATATATATATACATACATACATACCTACACACATACATAAACACAACGTGTATGCGCACCTCCACGTCGCTTCGCGAAATGTGTACCACGCTGCTCGGTTTGGGCCCGGCCAGGTGCGATGGGACGGCTCTGCGCCGAGCCGGGCGCGCGATCGAGCCGGGCGTGCGAGCAAAGGTCTCGCGGGGTCGCGTGTTCGAGGGACCTGGAGAAGAAAAATCAGGTCGCAGCTGTGCGTTTGTTCCATGCAGCTGTGGCGGAAGTTGCATGCAACGTCCTGTTCGGGAATGTGTATATGTACTCAATATATATATATATATATATATATACAAAACACATATACATATATATATATATATATATTCTGGGTCCGAAATAGGAGTGGGCCCCCACCCCCTGCCAATGATTCTGAGCCAACTTGAACATGCTGATGCCTTTTTGCCAGTAGAATGGTTAGGTTTGCATGGGGCGACTGCCCAGCGGAGGCAAATTCGCTAACTTCATTGATTGCTGCGCGCGGTGGCAAAATATCACGGGCGTCGCATTGGGCAGTGTTACATTAGTGCCAGCTAGACCTTCTATTGCTGACACCCGAGGGTCGCCTTGTGCTTGAAGCTGCTGTGTGGCTGCCAGTCTCCGCGAGCAAATCAAATCCCTGAGGTCGCAAATGACTGTCAAACAACCTTGGTTCAGTGGGTGATGGCCATCCCTGTTGACCCAGAAGTCCAAGCCAAGTTTGACGATGACGCTTGCGCATATAAAGCCAAGCCAGCTTCAGAAAGACGTTCGCGGCAACAGCTGTGGCCTTCGGCACAGGCTTTGGGCGAGGCAGAGGCAAGTTCGCAGGCGCGAGCTCGAGAGTCCAGGGTTGGAATCGAAGCCTCGAGAAAATACTGGGACGCAAGCAACGTATGCTTGAAGCACTCTTCAAAGGTGTCCCTTTATGTCTGGGCCAAGGGGCCCAAAAGTCAAACCCACGTTGACCTGCCTGGCGGTTGACCTTCTTGGCAGCACGTTGCACAGGCCATTCTTTGGCTCGGCTGTCTCTTGTCAAGGTCCACCTGATGCGCTCTGCGTGATTGTATCGCCGCACTTTTTCAACGAAGCGCTTGCTCAGTATGGCAAGCTTCCACTTGGAAACTCAGGTGACTAAGTCGTTCCTTGCTGAGTTGCAAGTATTGTACTCCTTTTGATTGCTGATCACATTCCGCCAGCTGGCGCCCCTTCACAGAACACAACATGAGACGTATCCTCCTAAGCGCAGCGCCGCGATGGTAGGTATGAAGTCCTTTATCCCTTTAAACCTTTCAATTTTGATTGGCAGCTTCTGTTTCGGTCACTCATAACAGGCGGGAAGCGCCTCTCCACTGGGAATGCAGGATGTCTTCCTCACGTACGGCCCACAGCGGGCCCCGGAAAGGAAACAAACACTTAGTCAGCGTATCCAGTCGTTAGGCGAAGAGGTGTGGACAGCGGCCCCTTGATCAGGACAAATTTGGAAGTGCCAAGGATACCGCAAGGAATCCGACCGCAAGCAGCGACCATCATCTCGGTTGGCTCATGGCACTCCAACAACATGTCAATATACTCTCCAATGCCAGTTTTCATTTCAAAGTGCTTAATTCTATTTGGCCTCATTTGATCTTTTTCACGCCTCATTGAGCCCCAAATCTGAAAATCAGAGCGTCATTTCCGCTGCCAGCTGCCCTTCTTTGCGGGCGGCCTGCTGGTTGCCCTGGCCGGAGTGGGTGCGCTGGCGTGCCTCGGCGGCGTTGACGTCCCCCTCCAAAGCTTCAAAGGGATGGACGACCCGCTAGGCGCGGTAGAAGCTCAACAAGCACCTGAACCGACAAACCCACCACGAACCGCTGCGAATGAGCTGTTGTCCACACTCATGGAAGAAGGCCGTCAACTCCACGGGAAGATGAAGGCATGCCAAAAAGAATGTAGAATGCTTGCTTTGTTGGGCAAGAGACCAGCATTCCTAGCCAATTTGCAAGTTGCCGCGGGTCATGTACAAGTGTAGAAGTGTAAGCCTCATTTTGCCATACTTGCTAGCTGCTAATACGAGTGCTGGTTGGAAATCAGTTCCATGGCACACGCGCCCACCACAGCGAATCGTGTTGAAGGATGTTGAAGGGATGAATTCAACGGTTCAAGGTAATGACGTGTCCTGGATTTGTCAAGTTGTCAAGTGTTTGATTCTGCGACTACTTGCTGAGCCTTTGCGCATGACCTGCTTTGAGGTTCGCTGGAGACAGCAGCGAGAATGTTGACGACAAGAAGGTCGAGTGCTTGGTCGCGTTGGTGGCCGCTTCGAATGCGTGTGTGGGTGTGTGTGGGTGTGTAGCTTCTGCTGAATCTTCATGTGGTCGCAGGTTGTCAAGGAGTACTTCAACAATGACGGCCACCCGTCAGAAATCTGGCCGGCACAACTGTCACAACATCATGGCATGTCTCATATTCAAAAAGGCACGAAGGTTCTATTGATGTTGTGCCGTACTTGCTACAGATTCTCATGACTCTGAGAAGTTGCATAACAACAGAACCGGGGTTCCCATCGAGGCCATGGGCCATGGTCAAAACCCCTTGGGCGCCATGGCACCGCGCCACGGCGCCACGTGGCCTAGGCTTTGAGAGGTGGCAGAAGATCTACGGAGAGACCGATGATGTGAACCCAGTCCAAAAGGCCGGCAGGGAGTCACCATGTTGCAACCAAGGCAACTTGGGTGCTGAAATCCCTAGACTTGTTGAGTTCCCCGAGCGGAAGCCAGTAGCGGATGGATTCTCTTCCTCCCCTTTGCATACAAGGCCCAGCCGCTAGCCTCTAGAGTTTGTGAGTCGACTACTGGTAGACTCAAGCTGAGCACCCGCATCTTTTTTTGCCCAATAGCGAGTTCATCTCGGGGTAGAACCATAGAACCAGCTCGCACGAAAAGCATGACTCACGCACGGCAGCAACAAATTATCAGACAAGCACCTCGTGCAGTGTTCGGGCAGGTGTAGAAGAGTCAAGGTGAGCCCAGTGCGAGTCCCACGAAAAATCAGGATGTGTGCAATGCGCAGGACATCCGAGTGGGCCATGCTGAGACCGTGAACAAGATTCTGAAGTGGCTGGAGCAATTGGGGGGGTGGTGCACGGCAGCTTGCGGAGGTGTCCGCGCGGCTCAGCTTTCGCGCAACCGCACTCACCCTGAACACTTACATGGAACATGTGCGGCTCATGGGAAATGCTTTGTCTTGTGAATGTCCTTGCCCACATCAGCAATAGGAAGACGCGGTTCTTGGCAGCTTCAGCTGTGTCGCGAGCATCACTTTGTCAGGATCCCTCCACGATCTCTGGCAAGAGCGTGTGCGATGCTGGGTGCCTGCCGCAGACACGAATTGATCATTGCCAGGAAACCATCAGCTGTTATTACTAATAGGGGTGGCGGTTTGCGTGTTTGTCATGTCGCAGTGAAGATACTAGATCATGCATGACCAAGTGCTTGCCATAAGATCTGCTTCCAGTTCGGCTGGGTTGCGGCGCAGAACCTAGTTATTCAGGACATAGGGAGCTGTTCTCTTGGAATGCTTACCATTGCCGCATATGCCCTTAAGATACCGGCAGCCAAGAGATCTGGGCGGATATGTGCGTGCGATCAAGGTGCGGGACCGGGAACCTGTCCATCCCTTTGGCCAGCCGCGGAGCAGTCGCTGGATGCTTGGAAACTCGAGTGACAGAGCACCCAAAGGCTCCATCTGAATGGGTGCTGTTGATATTCATAGTAAGACTAACCCAGAGCAAACAGTCGAGAAGCTTGAGACACTGCTCAGATGAACTAAGTCGCATACTGCATTGCACAGTATCATGAAACCATGCCGCATTATGCTTCGCTGCTTGTCACGCATACAACATGCAATCACGGACATGCGGAGGTGTTTGGCACGCGTGAGATGGACAAGCCCAGGGTGAACGTAGGAGAAGCCCTTAACAACGCCTAGGCCCCGTAACGTTGACCCTGTCAAGTTCAGTCCCGCGAAACCCTCAGAGCCAGCAACGTTCAATATGAATGAATTGATTTGGTCATTATCTTGACATACTTTGACTGTTTCTGGGGGTTTATCAAAGTCAGTAAATGGCGGGAGTGGTTCCCTTGCCACTTCGGTGACTTTGATTACTCTACATTATTGGGGCGAGTATGCACTGTGGCAAAGGGCTGTGGCACACTCTCCAAATTACCTTAAGAAGATAGGGGCTCACCAAAGTCTAATGTCACTGGTGTCTGGTTCGGAAAGGTGCGATCTGTTGAAGCCTCTGGACACGTCTGCAATTATTCTGCACAGGTTCATGGCAGCGACATCAGCTCTGCGATGGTCGGAGAGGAGCTGATGCCCGCGAGTTGAGGTTGACTTGACCAAGAACCAAAGTTGCTGTGTGTGTGTGTGTGTTGCCTCCGTGATTGATTCAAGTTGAAAGCTTGGGTTGACCAACTCCCTACCCAAAGAGGCTATTGCTTTAAAAGAATAGCCGTCCAGGGGGCCTCATGCAGGCCCTTTCTGCACTCTCTCGTGCAACGGTCAGCATCCCAATAAAACCCCAAGTCCAATCAACCTGAAGCCAGCGCCGAAAAAATGACGGTGCAGCAGGTCCCAAATATCCCCCAGCCACACGCGAGGGATTCGTAGCTTGTAGGCAGATCAGAACATCAGGTTGAAAGCTGGTGGTTTCCCTGTTGGTGTCCCTTTAAAACCGCCAAAAAATGGGGGGGGTGCTCTCAAGAACGACACCCATATGCGCAAATTGGGCCAATCAACAAGATTTGAACGTTATGAACACCCACGTTCAGAGGGTCCAAGTACCTCAGTGGCTGAGGGACCCGGAAATATGTTCCAACCCTTTGGGTCAGGCGGAGGTCAGGGCCAAGGAGGAGCTTCCGCCAGAAAAGATGCCCAAGCTGCTCGGACTGCGCGGCATGGGTTGTCAGCGTTCGCGAGAGATCTAGATATTCTCATGAGACTTGGTGTGGAACCTGAAAAGGGCTGGCCAGGACGTCATTTTACACAGAGTGGATTTGAGTCCCGAGGCTTTACAGGGGTGTGGATTATCCCAAGATCTCAGGAGAATACGTTGCGAATAGCCAAGCCCGTGTAACCTGGTGCGAAACACACACACACACACAAACAAACAAACAAACAAACAAACAAACAAACAAACAGATTACAAGAAGTCGCCCAGTTCAGTGACGGACATCTCGCTCCTGATCTCGCCTTTTAAGTGAAGCAGTTTTCAGAGCAAGCCCAGGTCTGCTG